GAGAACATCTGCAGTGCACGTGTGCGCGGGCGTCACGTGTGCTCGGGGCGCGCGCAGTCGGCCTGCGGCCATGATTCAACTGGCGTGCATTTCTCGTCTCCATAACAAGAACTAAGTCAATCGATTTATTAACCTAGCACCGGCATATATTGCCCTGCACAGGCACCTCCGGACTGAAGTTACTGATTGGCCCCTGCCTCTCTATAACTGTTGCTTGTTTTTTTTCGTTTACGCGTTTATCCCTGACGATGACCTCCAGTAAGAGCTCGAAAGCTCAACCGTGATTCCAGTGATCGTCTTCGATTGGCAACTGACCACTCTGCTTAATTATGGCGTTTTGGTTTATTTAAGCGCACAAATCATGCGCTAACAATCTAATTCCACTGACTGCAAATTACGAACCATTTCTTCAACTTTAATACTGTCAGTGTAGAGGAGAGAAACCGGGGGCTTTCGAAGAAAACAAACAGCAGTGATCCGCACACAAATCCCTTCAGTTATATATTGGGTGTTGATCAACCTTTCGTATGCGGATTAGTGGCGGACGACATGACCCTTCTGGCCGAACGAAGTACAGTTACAACTTAATAGAGTATGCCGAAGAGTGCTCGTAGAAATTTTCAGAAATTAAATCAGGTGAATTCATTGTTCATTGCGACAAAGCACTAGGTCCGCGGACTCAAAGCAGCTGCGTTCTCTAATGCCGCAGAATTGGGTAAAACATTCGACTGTGCTTGAAATCTAGGCGGATGACGTTATACGGCGCGGCAGCGGAGAGGAAGCGTTATTTTCACAGTCCTGACTTTTTTTCTCAAATATTATTGAAGTGAAGACCCTGCAGTCGGGTGCACGCCAAGCTTTCTTGAGATTTCCACGCTTAATCGTGCACGCCTAATCTTGCCGGCATATGAGTGGTTGCAGAGGTCAGGGGAACACTGCCTGATAGTACGTGTTTGGATATTCTCCTTCTTCTCTCATGCTCTTTCACTTCTCCCTCTCCCTCTCTCTCCTTCTATCCCTACACCATCTGCCCTTTCTACCTCATTCTCTTCTATCTTTCTTGGTCTGCCTTCGTTCCTTTCCCCTCCCTCTCTCTCTCTCCCTTCTTCTTCCTCTGCGCAAGCATAATTCCAGGTTCACCAGCTCGTTCTCTCTCTCCTTTTAGCCCCCTTTCAGGCCCCATCTCAGGTATCCGAGTAGCTAGGCGGTCGCTTGACGGTGGGGGAGAGAGTGGGGTCAACCCTCAGTGCGTTCCTCTCCTCACTATACTAAATCTGAATGCGCCTGAATCTATCACGGTACGCTAAAAGCCGTGGCTTGGAGGGTTTGCCAAC